ATCCTACTGCATTAACCGACTGAATATTAATACCAACAAAGTGCATCTTTGCATACGACACAGCTGACGTCATGCAAAAGGTTCTAAGGACAATATCGCCTGCCATTAAATATTTGTTATTCATATATTGCGTTATGGAACTTATGATCTTTTAGATATGTTTGAAACTAAAAGGGTTGTAGTTTTGGCGATCCCTCCAGATTATACATTTTTATTGTCGAATTCGTGAACATTGTGTTTGTTAAAATATTTAATTTATGTAATGTTTTACGAAAGTATTTAATTTCTTGTTCTTGATCAGTGTGCGTGCTATCTGTGGAAAACCATATTATGTTTTCTTAGCAGCATTTTTATGTTCCTCTAGTAATTGCGATTATTATTTATTTATATTAATATTATTATTATATATTATTTTGATGTATGATTGATGATAATATTTGAGTTTATTGATGTATTGCCCCATGGCGATGAAGTTATCAACAACCAATCGAAATTCGAGACACTTCATAAAACCTAATTATCGCTATTATTAGATATTATTTAAAACAGATGTGCAGAGAGACTTTGAGTCTTAAACTAGCGGTAGTGTGAATTTATGTTAGTACATTCACACATGTGTTTTGGAACAAATTGCGCCATCCAACGCCTCTCCAAGCATGCAAAGATCCTACTCAACAATCCCGCTCACCTACAACCCGTTCCCTCCTTTGTGCGCTTTCTCGTGCACGTGCATCCGTCAACCCGCGCTCTGCAGCTGAATCCTACGCCCCCCCCCGCCACCGCTACCTTTTTCTCCCTCCTCCGGCACTCTGCCTCCTCCCCCTTCCGCCCCCGCTGCCTTGCCGCTCCACCCGCCGCCGCTGGCAGGGCACCGTCGCATTGAGGACAGGTTTTCCCCATCGCGGCGCCCGTCACTCCGCCGATTGCTGCCCAGGGCCGCTCCCAGGTCGTCGGCGATGCGGCAGAGCGGCTCTGGATTCGCCACGGCGCGCGCCAGGGGATTCCCCGACGTAATGGCACAAATTGCTGCTTACAGCGAAGTGAAAGTTTCAGGAAATCATTCATTAAACCAACGTTTTAAATAGAGAACAAACGCAGTTTTCAAATGTGTAACTGAAATGACAAGTAGTTGAATAATGAATATTTGAAAATAATTTGCCCACAGTAAGAAAAAAACGTATCAATAAAATTAAATAGATAGCACGAGAACATAGCTAACTGAATGTTTACACACTTTTTTTACATTCTCACCTTACTACGTGGGTAGTAAAAAGTAAGTCTTGCAATTGGCTTAAATCGACGAATTTTTGACAAAAAAGAACTCCTCTTAATTTTGGGTCTTAAAAGTGGTTAAACCTAATATATAATATTAATAGAGAAGTAATGTTATATATATGTATATATAACATTACTTCTCTATTATATTGTGTAGTTCTCATCCATGTTATTACTAGCAGTAGTAGCTTAGTAGAAGTTGCAGCAACTTGCTGAATGACACTGCACAAGGCAGATTATAAATCCCGAAGACACCGGACTCCCATCCATGTTTTATGGACCGTAGATACCAAAACTTCGATTCGATGGCGAAACGTCTGTCTGTCTTATCAACGCTAGTGTCGAAACCGTTCAAAAAATTTTCTCTAAAATTGATATTTCTCGATCAATTTGAACGAACTTAAGGCCATGAGAGTTAAAAACGGATTTTTTAATTTTTGAGTTTTCTTTACATGACGCATCACACATATTTTCAAAAATAATTTAAAAAATGGCCCCAAAGTTTTCATTAAACTTTGTCCTCGTATAGCATAAAGACCTCTTAAAAGAATGCGCAGATATCATTTTCGTTGAACTTTCTGAATTTTCGAAAATTGCAATAATTAGTAATATTGTAAGAAGGTATGTGCTGTTGTAACACCACTACTAAAAGGCCTTCTTCCCGCGACAGTTTTCAATATTTAAGATCGATTTTCAACGGTAAGGTAGTGAAGTGTCTGTGGAAGGTATTTCTCTACTGTCATTGATTAGACTGAATTACTTAAATTGTATTATTAAGAGAATTGGTGAAAGCATATTAAATGAAGAAGAATTCATTTGAATCGTAGGAATTATTAAAGATAATTTACATTAACTGATTCTCTTTGCTGATGTTAAGTCCGTAATCAATCCGTTGAATTAAAATTACTTTTCCACGCAAAGACCTCAAGATGTGAAAATGTAACTGAATTATTTTGCTTAACTTCTTTGTAATTTCTATGTTGAAAGGGAAGGAGCAACATTAGAGTTGATGGTTTGTCACGATAAACCCAGGACAATGTCTTGAAAAACCTGAAAAATGGATAGGATTTAAGTAAGAAGCTATACAATAAAATTATAAAAGAAATATCAAACATTTTTGATATCAGACAACACCTTTAACACTACTATTGCTATACCCTCTAGACATGACTTTACAAGCTTATGAACAAAATTGAGATGAAGTGAACACATTCGAGTTAATTACACCAAACAAAACTAAATTCTTCAAATTTAGTTCTTCCTACATGTTAACAAACATTGTTTCAAAAACTTCAAAAAATGAGAATCTTTGTAAAACTTACCTTCCTTAGAAAATGAGATTACTTAAAATTGTTATTTTTTATTAGCCTCAATATACCATAGCATAAAAAATATAAAACCCTCCATTGGTCAATGAAAATGTTGAGAGTTACAAATAATTTCATTCAAGTGTTTTTGGCATTGCCTGACTGCCTTTTTGGCACACATTGGGGTAATACACTGTTAGACACTATGAACTCACGATTAAGCCTCCCAGAAAATTATTTTAAGAAAACTTTTATTTATTTATATTCTAATACATTTTGTTGGCTAAGAGATCCGTAGAATGGCAATGGCTCGTGCAACACTTATAGGCCACTATTAACTGTTTTTCGTAATTAACTACTTCATTTACTAAAGTCTCATTTAAATTTTGAGTGTTAAACGCTGCGCAATGCAAGAAATACTTCGTAATTTTGAATACTGTTTACTTCCACTTCTTGTTTAATTCAATGTTTAATATGAGAGGTATTATATTCGTTTATTGTTTCATTAATTTTTCATTTGATGGTATTTTGTAAATAGTTCTGAAGAGCATGTTAAATATTTTGGGACGTATGTGTCTGCATTATTCATACTGCGCATGTTCATTTCTTTTACTGTACCTCTTACTTTGCGAGCTGCCGAGGCCATCGTCATCCATTGTCTTTTTCTCAACTACCGATTACCGTTACCGGTCATTCGCTTTACCACACACAGCAACCACAAGAAGTCTCTGTAGACTTCTCTAGCAACTCATAAAAGAGAGAAATTATCAGTGCACCGCAGGGTATAAAGCTCTTCCTTACTCATAGAAGTTGCTAGACTAATTATAAGGGAAATGTTTGTGGGAATTAGTCATGAGTTTTCGTATCTATGCAAGTTTTGATGCGAGTCATCACGTGCGTGTGACAAAAAATGGAAATTTAGTTATGTCTTGATAATAGTTGTAGCGAAACACCTGAATAATAAAAACATTTCTTTGCTGAAGGAAAAAAGTTGTTCATGTTCTTCCGTTTACAACCTATTAGTACATACCAACACCGAACTGGATAACTGAGAATTAGTAATATGCATTGTAAAACGTTGCTTAAAACACTGAACAAATAATGAATCAATGATATTTTCAATATTTCAACGATGATCGGAACAGTGAAAAATTATTTGGTGCGATGTTTTGATTGCTAGTTTCCCTATTACCTTCGACCGTCAAAAAATCCTCGCGCCGAACTTTGAGCATATATGACGTCACTTCTTTCAGAAATAGGATTTCACACAAATGAGGATGCACTGCGCCTCAAGTTCACCTTCTAATAAATATGATTGAGAAATCCTAACACATTCCTTTCTTCAGGAATTTTGTACAGCTTCAACTAAATGACACTTTTCCCATGTCGCACTCTTTACAATCCACCATCTGAATTTCAGTTCATGCAACAATGAAATTGAAAGGGTCATCATCAGGCCAAGACCACAGTTTGCCATAGTAATTATTAATAGGCGTAATATAATTCAATAAATTACCGTTGCTAACATCCTCTCGGTCCCATCGCATCATCAATACCATCAGGAATGTCCCTATCGCTTCGCTAACATTTTATCCGTCATTATTTCCGTCACCTCCGCGACTCTTGCCGTCATCCTCATCATCCCCTTCTTCGGGATCACCGTTGCTACAACGGCATGACCAACCTATCACCTCTCCCACAGCGATGCTTTCAATTACCACCATCAACATTCGCAGTTAAAATCCCTGCCGTAATAACGCCGCTGCTACCATCGTCAACCCCCGCCATCACCTCTGCGTCACACTACAACGGAATGAAACAATGCCACCACGCGCATCGCAATTGCCACCCAGTCCTCATTACCATCATCACCACCATAACTATCACTATAACCATTACCACAATCAACATGATTACCAGCACTACTGCTACTGCCAGTTTCCATCACGACCATCACCACCAACATAACTATCACTATAACCATTACCACAATCAACATCAGCACCACTGCTACTGCCAGTTTCCATCACCACCACTATAACTATGACTATAACCATTACCACAATCAACATCAGCACCACTGCTTCTGCCAGTTTCCATCCTGACCATCACCACCACCATAACTATCACTATACCCATTACCACAATCAACATCAGCACCACTGCTACTGCCAGTTTCTATCACGACCATCACCACCACCATAACTATCACTACAACCATTACCACAATCAACATCACCACTAGCACCACTGCTGCTGCCAGTTTCCATCACGACCATGACCATCACCACCAACACAAGCGCGGCCGCCCCTTGGCAGGCGGACCCTCGCACGCGGGAGGACAGCTGACGTCACAGCTGCGGGCGGAAGGCGGGCACGTCACTCCGGCCGGCGGGAGGATTCCCGAGGCGCGGCCGGTGGGGGCCGGGCTATGACGTAGGCAGCGGCTAAGCCGCGCCGCGAATATATACTGCGGCCGGCCCGCTGCTCGGCACAGTCGACCCGCACTCACCGGCTCAGACCTGCTGCTCTCGTGCTCTCGCCCGCAAGGACACCCGCTCGCTGTTATCATGGTAAGCACGCTTGTCCTCACCCAGCCCACGGCGGCTGAGCGTCTCGGATGATACCTACGCCTAACTCTGTAAACAGAGATTAACTTTGCCGTGTTTATCAGGGTGTGAACTATACTGTTTAAGCGATTGTACCGTTAATTCTCGGATGGATGTTGAACTTTTGAATGGCGTGCCGACGCCTGCTTGTAATCTATTCTTAGAAGTAATACGTGGTAACTGATTCATCCTGCATTAAAATGTTGCAATATAATGTCTTTCAAATTTATTTCTGAAAGTTTTGTTATAAATTATGATTTGTGAATCCCTAGTATGAAACAAATGTTACACACAAACTAGTGTGTTGACATCTGTGTAATTGAACAGTACGTTTTGCATCCTAAACACAGTCCCCTTGCCATTTGATACGCGATTACATTTAGATTCTCTTCGTATTCCCGTGATAAGAGTTTTGCTATCGTCTTATCCTTAGCTGAATCTCCCGTCAGTCACCCTAACAAAGCGTCAGATCACGTACCAATTTCGCTAACGCCTTTGTGCATCACGAGAGGAAACCACTCGTGCGGCAGATACCATGAAATCATCACCGTGACGAGCGCGCCCGTGAGCAAGGCCAGCCCGCAGCGTGCGTTTTTGAAGTCGTGCGGCCGGTTCTTTGTTGCCGACACCTTGCCAGGCCGCCGCGGCGGCAAGCGATCCACGCCGAACCGTGGAGCGGTGCAATTACTTGGGTGGGGCGGGGCGGGAGGTTGACGCGGAAATCGACCTTGATGCGCCCGGCACGCTTTCGAACGTCTTTTCCTTCTCGTTGAACGCTCACCGCTCCGCAGCTGAAATCAACGCCCTTTTTTTTCAATTTTACGAATTGGAGATGGTAAAAACTTCGAGAGGTTTTTAGGGAGTGGCTAAAATGCTACGGGGCCATTCAAAGGCAACTGACGCGTATCGATTCTTTCAAATTGATGTTCCTTTTCGCTAAGAAAATGGGGAAAGTACTTTTAGATAGCTGGTGAGGTAGATACCTTCTATTATTATGATAAATAAAGATGTCTGGTATCAATAACTTTTTTATTAAGCTAATGATCGTTTCGTTTATTAAGTTAATGATGTTTTCGGGCCGGAAGCTGCAAGCTCTGAGGATCACTGTGATCGAAACGATCTCAAGCTTAATAAAAGTTATTGATACCAGACATTTTTATTTATCATAGGGAAAGGATATATTTCTGTTCATGTTAAGATTCTCCGACGAGTGAAGGTTGCGGACAAAAATTAAAATTATGTTGCTCATCAAGAGATTTTTGCATTATTTTACAACGAAAACATTTGATAATACAACAAGAAAAGAAATTTGTACTTCTAGAGTCATTCAGTAAAGAGATACAAGCATCGTCTACCAGTTGTAGTACTAGTTTTGTACCTTCCCAACGCGAAAGGGCAAGTTTCCGCCCGACCTAGAAAGCAGGCGCACGGCGTGTTCTCGCAGGTCACTAAACGGTTCTTAACATAGAGAAAGCTTTCTTTGAAACAATAACATGGGAGTTTCCGGGTTTTTCTTGAGCGCTGGACTATTCGGAAGCTTATACAGTTGCGGGAAGTCTCTTTCGAGTTTTAGGAGTAGCTACGACAATCCAATAGACATTTTAAAAACATTCTTAGACGTATTTTAAACAAGCTGAATTAACGGTTCATACTTAATAGTTGCTTTTTATTCAAATGCGTTAAATCGTTTTGGGGAGTGGGAAAACGTCCGCATTTTGTATTTCAAGCAATGGAAATGGAAAAAAAAGTGGCTAGAGAAAAAATAGTTGGTCGGAAGGATAATTAATTATTGTAAATAAATGTAGAAAACCCGTGAAATGTTAGGAGCGGTTTATTACTAGAATTTAGTTTTTCGTCCCTTTATGGATATTCTACACTTACTTAAACTTCGTTTTAAATGTAGCTCTTACTTCTTCTAGTGCCTTTTTCGTTGCCTCTCTAGCACCCCTCATTGATGTTAATCACTCGTTGGTAATTTATACAGTAATTTATGGCCCAGGCAAGGAAGAAGGGAGTTCATGGGGTTTCAGCATACTTCCTCAAACGGCGAAGACACATATACACATTAACTGATATTAAACTGATTTTATGTTGTAACGAAAGACACTAAATATATCGGCCCAATTAATTATAAATAACTGTAAATCGGTAAAAAAAATTAAAAAAAAACTGCTTAAACACAAATATCGTGAAATCTGCTGAATATTACCCATGTATCACCCCCACCATACAAAAATATATGGTTGCGCCACTGGTACCACTAATTGCTGCTTTTGGTGTCCTGCATCCATTAATAAATTGTTTCTTCTTTCCAGAACGCTTCTGTAGTGTGCGCCGTTCTCCTGCTGGCCGTGGGCGCCATGGCGCAGTACAGGCCCTTCTACGCCGGCAGCGGCGTCAACTACCCGCGGCCCTTCGGCAGCAGCAGCTCCAACGACGACCTGGCGAACCGCTTCGGCGACTCCGACCTGTCCACGCGCATCGACGCCAACGGCCACGACGTCAAGCTGGTGGAGGAGGCCGCAAAGCTTCCCGCGGATCAGCAGCCCTTCTGGTACATCAACCGCGAACACATCCGCAAGCACCTGGGCCTCGACGTCACCGGCCGCCCCGTCCAGCCCGTCCAGCCCGTCCAACCCGTCCAACCCGTCCAGCCCTTCGTCGTCCAGCCCGTCGTCGAGGGCCTGCCCATCCATCCCGTCCAGCCTGTGGTGGACCCCACCCCCAACATCGCCTAAACGTTCTCGCCGGGCGGCGTGAACCTCCACCGACGCTAGCACGAAAGCGCTGGCAATGTCGGCGGTTTTTTTTTGTTTTTTTGTTTCAAGACTGCTGAACAGGCGAACGTTGCGCTCTAAGTGTCACTAGTCTTGATTTGCTTTACAGAGCTCGCTGTTGGCGTATTTATTGCGTGAATTCGCTGCATAGCAGGGGGAGGGAGAATCCTGACAATGTAATTTGCAACGTGGGAACTGTTTTGGATGAAACAGAAAGGAGTTAATTGTGTATTGTTTAAAGTTAAAATTACTGTAAAAATATTGCAAAGCATTTTTTTTGTTGACTCAGGGAAACAGGAAGGAAATGAAACATGTAATGTACCCACAAATCGGAACTTCGGTAAGAAGTTTCCTGTATAGTGCCATGTTCGGGGCGTTGAGAAATGAGTTATGTATATATTGTGATATGAAATCCTTGCCTGGATTTTATGTATTATATTTTTTAAGCTTTTGATACACCTAGTTATTTTATAACTCTTGTTTAAATAAAATATTACATATTACATATCTTTCATATATATTAAACCCTTCTCCTTCAATCCTTAAATGTAGAACCAATGCTGGATCTTGGAAGATCCTGAATATGTCAATTCATGAAAATGTAAGTTTTTGGTAATGCAAACTGGAAGAAAATAATTATCCATTGATTGAGGCGAGTGGAAGTTAATATTGGTAAGCTTCCTTTAGTGACTTTACAGGACTCAAATAAAAGTTGGAAGAATTCTGTAGGGTACTACATTAAATAGCAAATTTGTTGTATTAAAACATACTGCACGGAGTTAACATTACATCGCCAATGGCTTGTCAGCTTCTAGAAAAAAGGGAAAAACAAATTGCTTGCTAGTCTTCTCACAACCTTCTCAAATATCTATTGTAATATTAAAGCTCTTTTCGGGAAAATTATTTTTCATTGAAAAATTGAAAATTAGGGAAACGTATATAACTTTCTTCTTTCTTAGAAACTAGTAAGTTAATATTAAACTTAAAAATTTGTAATGGTTAATTTTGAATCTTCGAACTGGTAGAGTAAAGTGGTCTTAATTTGTATTAATTGAATCAGCAATAGATCAACCTTTGTGCAAAAAATAGTCGGTGTAAATAATAGTCTTACATTAGAAGTTCTGAAACGCATTTCTCTTGAATTCTAGCAACATTAATTAACGGTCATGTGAACATTATTCTGTCGGGGGAATAACAAAATAATACCAGCCCCGCAAATACTAGCCAACGTTTGCGAAATGAATGCGAAACATTATTACATGGCACTTGCCGAGCACATTCTCAGTTCAGTTCGGCGTAAATGAGAGTTAAAATATTTGATCTCATGCCTGCATCAATTATGCTAACAACCGAGCAGAAATACTGAGGATGTTGATGCTAGTCTTAAAGACCAGAAATGTCAAGTGCAATTCAGACCATCAATGGAAAATGCGGATTCGAAGAAATACGTATTTTGAGAATGTAGACGTTTTTCAAAACTCCCAAATCTTATCACTAATGATTGTTTCGTAAGCATCTAACCCTAGTTTTTATTTACAAATTTGTTTACGTTCAAATAGTGTTAATAGTATAAACTGCCTTTCAGTAAAATGTTATTAAACAGTTCAAGTTAACATTTTGAGAAATAAACGTTTTTCACTCTTGCGCGTTAGTTAAATTTCATTAAAGGCGTGAAAAAAGTAAACAGTGATCTCTATTTCATACACAGTGATTGTGTTTTCATTTATCTTTGATGAATATGCTTTTAATTTTAACTTGTCTATAAGAGAATGCATTTTAATATTTTCATGTGCTTTTCAACATAATTGTATTAGCTTTACAATTTAATTTTTAGTGACAATATCGGAAGAAACTAAATCGATGGTAAAAACTATTACGAACTTTTAATCCTTCTTATTGAACCAGTTGAGTGAGTTGACAATTCCGAGCAATTTTGTTGCAACTTTAACTCCTCTGGTTGGTCGAAGAAGAAATTCCGCGGTAGGGTTTTGGTGAAGCTAAACCGTTTTAGAATCTTGTCAAAAACTCGGTCTTTAACCAAAGACAGGCTGGCCAGAGACACAAAATGCTTGTCAGGCACGTTTAAACGGTTTCACGGGAATAGATAACACGGGACGAAGAATTCTATCTGGGGAACAAACGAACTCTCCTGAACAAGCACGCCTTCGAGCTCAGGCACGTCCACACGCCGCTGTTATCGACACCTGCAAGGTCGACCCGTTCCGAATACATCTGAAGCGTGCGTCGTGGTATTTGAGGTTACAATATGCCGTAGCAGGTTCTGAATCTGCGGTGACGTAAGTATACTGCAAAGTAGATGAATGCGTTGTAATCTCACGTTTTCGCCTTATTATTTAGGCAAAGAAAAATCAAATCGCCACGTCGTGCTCCTGAATACGAATGAATAAATTATACATCAGTAATTGTAATTGACTTTAAAATACTAAGTAGCAGTTTTCGGTCTTGTGTAGATGCCACAAGGTAGCAGTATTTGGTAGCTTTTGAAATTTGGTTGTATTATATTGTTTCAGAGAAATGGTCTTCATAAGGTTCTTATGATATGATAATTAATAATAGATATGCACATGTTTTTTCTAACATTCACGCAAATATTTCGGGAATATTTTCAATTTTTTGATTTTTAATCCCAGCTACTAGTACTTCTTTTTTTATCAACTACTTTCAGTTCATAAAATACGTACGTGAATGTGTTCTTTAATATCCTATGCGTCAAAACTTTGAAATATTACTAGGTATCCTCATAGTCCTCTGTTCACTTTCTATATTCCTGTATTATCATTTTCTCTTGGACCTGTAAATAATTTCAAACCCAAACTTTTATTTCCATCAGCAGGTGTAAATTAAAGGTACTTTCTACTCTTCCGCAGATACTATATCCTCAGAATACTTCATTCACGTGCAATGAACCCGTTACGTTGTAGTTCAAAAATCCCGTTTATAAACATGCTCGTAAGTCTTTAAAATTAACATATTGTTTATTAATGAAATACCCGAGACGTGTAACGTAACGGGCAAACAACAGTGTGCTTCTCACGTGGGTTTTTCTAGTGTCGTCAAGGTAGATGATACAAGTCACGCAAAATAACTAGTCGTGACGCACTAAAAATAACGAAATATGGCGTGAGACAGACTATAATCTCAGCACGCCATCATAAAAATGATTCGTTAACTAACTGGAATTTTTAAACTGGAAGACGATATCGGCATTATTTGAACTAAATAAAGAACTTGTGAAAAGATATGATTTATACATTCGAAAAGCCAATTAATAAAATAATCATACTACTTCAGTACTATAAAAATTGTACTTCACGTTTCTACAGTTCTCGAATAGTGATCAGTGATCACAAACGTCTTCTAGACAAGTATTTGGAGGAAATGAAACAGCTTCTTTTGGAAGTGGCCGGAAGACGGGCATATCCTCTTACTAATAATACCTCTACTACGGAAGCAATTTCGGGACACCACATAGACAGACGGTTTTGGAATTACACGGTGAGATTCCATGTGTGAAATACTGTAATCTAAAAATATATTTTTAAAGCTCACTTGTATTGTTGACATGGTTTCTTTATTTTGTAGGACTTTTAACTCTACCTTAAGTCCATTTGAGTGATCCGTATGAAACTTGGGAAGTTTGTTTGACGTCATTCAAAAGCTTCTTAACTATACCTAATTCCAATCAAAATACGTCGCGTGCTCTGGTGCTGTTGTGGGTCCACCGCACCCAAAACTTAAAAATCAGCTGCTGTGCATTTCTTTGCACTGAATCCGTCATCAATATGTTGAAAAGTGACCTCTTTTCTATTCAATACTCAAGAAGAAATTCAAAATCTATTTCGTTCACTTGAAAAAAGTTATGTTTTCTTAAAAAATCTTATTATACAAGAAAATTTTATCTTTATAGTAATGAAATGTTGGTACGGAGATAGACTGAAAAATGTGATAAAATTATAGACAATTTTTATTGTAAAAATGATAATGTTAAACTAATTATTACATTTTCTACGTGTGAAAAGCATATGATTATAAGAAAATGTGAAACTGAAAATTCTAAATAAATATAATTATGTATTACGTATAGTCTTTAGAATTAATTGCAGGTTTTTCAAGTATTCAAACACCAATGGGAAATTTGACATTACGAAATCCCATTCTCACAAATCAAAGAAATGCACAAGAAAACGGTGAGTAGGGAAATCTGCGGGAATTTGATCATTAACGTCGCAACGTCAACCAGGAAAACGGGGAGGTTTCGCCTCGCCGCATAATTGAAGAAGCTGTTCGGTTCGGCGAAAAAGTTACAATATGCAGGGACATGCGCCGATCATCGACTTTCAGGCACGATTGACACAGTAATGAATGCGACCTCACGATACCTTTGGACTAAAGATCAAGCGACGGGGCTTCATTAAAGCATCGTTTGTTAAACCGACCAACTCTTCAGTTCGATACAAGGCATGCGGCACGGCCAGAGTAGGTAGAGAGGGATCTATGTGTTTTCACTACATGGAAGTTTAAATTATATACGCAGTCTCTTTAATAAGTTTCAATTTATTTTTATGAAATGTTGGCTATAAGATGGGAATGCAAACAATGAATGATACTTTAATACCATGCCCTATCACGTGCATTGTTAATGTGACATTTTAAATGTGCTTTTTTTAAATTTTAGTTTCTCTTTGTTTCTCAATGTAGACATATGCATTTGGTGAGCTCAGTTAAAAAAATAAATTTCAATTTCATTTGAATATAATTCTGGGACAGTTTTTATTTATTTTCTATATTTTTTTGAACTGTTAAGCCCTTGGAAGCAGATGATAAAAAATCCTGCAATAAAGGAATAATGCAGTTTATTTTTACAAATTGAATTCAGGCATCATTACGTAATGTGTTGTATGATGTAATGCATTGAAAAATAATTATGACAATTTTTATTTTTAACGATTTTTGTGAAGAGAGAACCGATTAAAAAGTAGATTGCTGATATAATATCGTTAATATTGCGACAGACGTTTTCAGAAACGTACAGAAAAAAGTTGTGAAGTGAAAAGTATGTCAAACTCATAATGAGTTTTAATATACTACGAAGTTTAATATTTTTTAGGTTACCAGGTTTTCCACGTTTGTTACATGTTAATTTTAATGCTCCCCAAATTAGATGCGCATTAGAAATATCAGGTCGAGTTACAACATTCTAGCTGTGCTTAGCTTACAGCTGTATTGATTAATACTGCTAATAGAAGAAGAGTATTTTGCAACAGGAAGTAGTTAATTCCACATTTGTTTGCTAATTGCTAGGGAATTTTATGGGCAATATTACATTGCGAATGGTGCTTTCTGTCCGTTCTACAGGTCTAAGTAAGTATGTAATTGGCTGTGTTAATAACAACCTTTAATTGTTCAATTTTAATAACACGCAAAAAAATAGTGTTTCTAAAACAGCACGTTCTTTCTAAAACGGCACGTTCTTCTTTCTTTCATTTTCTAAAAATTGTTCGTCACATTATTTCAATATCTATCTTCAAGGAACAGATTTCGTTAAAAGAAAAAGTCTCTATTTTTAATATTTTAGTTGTGGGAAGACACAGCAAAATTCTGAAATTTTGCAAGTTTCGAAATATCCGGGTTTTTAACATGAAACCTTCTCCATTCTCTTAAAGGTCCTTCACAGTATACAAGAGGCTTTATATAAAGTACGCCCAAAATTGAAATATTGATTTGCAATTCAAGGAACTGCGTCATCAGCTAGATCGGTTAGGGAATATCAATTTTGAAGAAAATCGTCTGAAAAGTTTATGCGGCAGACCGGACCGGCTGCCGGTTATACCGGCAGACTGGACAGACAGACGTTATGCCGCCAATCGATTTTTCGATATAAATCACGCGCAAACATAGATTCTGGCTATACCGTGTGTTAGAGAATTCATTTTTCTATATTTAGCAACTGAATTTATTCACTTTTTTGCTATCAGAGCCCGGCAACAAGAGTTTTGATGTTGAAAATACGCCGTAATTCCCTACTCTGTAAGGATAAAGTAAAAAAAAAACTGCATTGCATTTTGTCTCGTTCAACATGATAACCGGGAGGGTCTAAATACATAATTCAATTGTCATTAACTAAATGCAAAGATCATCCGGAAAATGTTAAATTTTTAGAGCTCATTTATGACGATCACTTCAGTTAATGAGCAGATAATACATTATAATTGCGATTATAATATATAGGATATGACCAAACCAGAAGTGAATGTGTGTGTTAGTGTTGTGTCCGGAAAAATATTCCGGGAAAGAGAAAAAATCCTGAGTCAAGGTACTTGCTAAATTGCTGATTCACTCCCTATTGTAATGTATCTTGGCGTATAGTTTATTGCATATTTTGATCCGATTACATGAAGTACGGAGTCGACATTTAGCTTATTCGTCACTAAAACTGCACAAATAATCTGACAATCGTTTGCAATGTTTTTAAAATATTGTCAATATAATATTTAATGTATCAGATTATAGTTATTTATTCTTCCTTCACTAGTATTATTCTCGTGTACAAATCAGAATTGTTTGCAATTAATTCCATACAATTATTTTCTTCTTACATTGCGAAAATAACTGATAATGTCTTGGAAAACTAAGAAATAATTACTGAAGCCTCCACCCTTCTCGCATTGTAAGACACCAATTCTAGAGACTAGTTCTAGGAGTAGAATAATATGCATGAAAAATAGAGAAATGAAATTGGAAAAAAAATTATGTTCGTAAGATGGTTTGATGTTATGAGTTACTTCAGTATAGTTACTTAATTGCAGGATTTATTGTGCCAAGTAATGGTTTGTATTCCGTCAATAAATGGTATTGGGACTATATGAAATAGAAAATGTCACTGATAACAACTGAACGTAAGTAGGCCTATGTCCATTTAATGATTGATTACTTAGTGATCCCGCGCGCGTCAACTGATAAGATCATTAGTTCCAGTAAGTGAAGAGCATGATTTTCTCGCGAGAGGTGGCGGGTCCTCAGATTACCTTAAATCGCTCCGTCCCGCCCCTCCCGCTTGGCCCCGCTTCACCCCACTACTCCCCGCTACACTCAGCTTAGCCCTGCCCCGCTCTCACCCCGCCCTCACCCGGCCCTCTCCTCGCCCTTTCTCCTCCCTCCCCCGCTAACTCTCCGCTCTCTCTGCGCCCTCTCTTCGCCCTCTCCCTATCCTCTCCCCATCGGATGGATGCCGAGATCCGACCTACTCTCTGCTAGCGGGATTTCCTCAACCAGGTATCTCCTACGAGCGGGTCACCGCCTCAGCTGAGTCACGCTGTCTGCTCCCGACTCGCGTGGTAGTGTAGTGCATATAAGTGTAAGAAAGGGATAGACCAATGAAGAGGAAGGAAAGGTCCCATGCTGGCCGTGATCCCTTTGTTAAGTTACTGCGGTGGAATTCGTCTGGTGTTGTTCGGAGAAACCACGGAAAACTACCGATCAGTACACCGGTCGCTAGAATTCTCCTTTAGACAGGGGCTGAAGTCGACCGGCAACCTAGATAGTGTGGGAAATCATACCACCGTCGAGGCTAGAACTCTTACGATCTCCCGGTCAGAGGCACTGCAGTGACATCAATTGGTGTCCTGAGCTGGCTGTTTAAATTAATTTCCGCACTAAAATGCTTGTTATAACAGAATAAACCAAAAATGCAAAACACATTCCTTTGGGAATCCTTTATCTAGAAACCTTTCAAACAACATCTTAAACAAGGGAAGGCATTTTCGATTGGTTAAACATATTATGCAACAATCTAATTTAGTGTATCGTGATAGCAGTGAGCTTACATTGTTCTTGGTGGATCTAGCTTTCTCCAAATATACATTTCAGTTAGAATTCTCATTGGAATTTATTTTCATATGATAAGATGCCAAGAAATGTTTAGACACTACTGTTATGTAATCATTCACACTTAATGATAAGAGCATTTGGTCAAATGTGTAGAGAAGCATTAAATAATTTTCTTAACTACGTGGTTCGTTGAATACAACAATAAACCAGCAGTGAAAGAGAATCACGCTGATGTAATAACGGTCATTACCGCATGGGAAAAACTGACCAGCAATATCATGGACACTAGCTAGTATAACTGTTTCGTGTAAATAGGAGTTCCAGGAGCCCAATTGACGCGAAGTTGGAGCATCAGCGTGGGTGGAGGACGCTTCGTGTGTCAACAAAGAGCAGCTCGAGAGGACAGGCAGAGAGCAGGTCGAGGTGGCCGCGAAGGCCAGTCAGCAGAGGCGACCGCGCGGTAATCGGTGCTTCCCCGAGCGCTTCGGGCGGTGGAGTGGAACGGGGCGGGGCGAGCTGGGGCGAAGTGAAGCGGGGCGGGACGGGGCGGGCGGGCGGGGCGGGCCGGGGCGGGCGGCGGGCGGGGTCGGCGGGGCGGGGCGGGGCATGGCGAAGCGGAAGTTCGGGGCCTGGGCGAGGAGACGCGAAAATATACGCGGAAACGAAGAGTGGGCGGCGGGTGGTCGAGAAGTGGAAGAGGTAAGAGAGAGTACGTTGCGGGATCGGGATGGGGGAGAGGGTAGGGAGGCCGGAGAGAGTGCGGGGAGGGAGTGAGGAATAGGCGGAGGAGAGGGCGGGAAGGGGCGGGAGTAGAGGCGGAGAGTGGGCGTGAAAGTGGGCGGGAGGGAGCGGAGGAGATGGCGAGGAGAGGGGCAGGAGAGAGGAGGGAAGGGGCGGGGAGAGTGGCGTGAAGAGGGGCGGGAAGAGAGCAGGGAGGGGGTGGGGAGAGAGCTAGGCAAGGCCGGGTAGGGCGAAACGAGGCGAAGCGGGGCGAAGCGTTGCGAAGCGGGGCGGTGCTACGCAATAGGGACCATGAGAGGCTGAGTGCAGTGGTGTGGGGAGGGACCATGTGGAGCGGGGCGGAGCGGTGTGGGCGGTCAATAAGTGGCTGTGGGAGGCGAGCGGCAGGTCGAGACGCGGAGCAGCGGTGCGGGGAGGAAAACCGGCCGACCTGGGAAATCCACGCGCGTGACCAGCCGGCGCATTGTCGCTCCGGGCAGCCGCACCGACCCGTCTCGTCCCGTCTCCTCCCCTCGCCCCACTCCTCCACCCATCCCCTCCTCCTCCCATTCCCTGGGGCCGCAACGAGCCGGAGTGCCGCAGCTGAACTGGGCTCGCGACCTCTCGACCGCCCCGCCAGCGCTGCCGTCGCGACGCGCCGGTTGCGCCGCTCAGAGTCCCTGCCCTTGGAGAAGCGCGTTTGAAGTAAGAATATCCATTAGGCCTGCGAAGGAGATGAAGAGGCGGGTCGCGGCAAAGCGAGCAGAGCGGGTTGGCAGGGACTGAGCGGGTTGAGAGGGACTGAATGAGTTGAGAGGGACAGGGCGGGTTGAGAGAAGAGTCGATGGGAGTTAGGGTGGTTGTTTGGGACAGTGCGAGATGAAATGGTCTGATCGGGTTGACAGGGTCAGTACAGGTTGAGACGGGCTGAGCGAGAGGCGGATCATGAAGTGAGGCCGGGTTGACAGGGGCATTGCTGGTTGAGAGGGACTGAGCGGGGTGAGAGTAGAGTCTACGGGTGAGAACGAGTTGAGTGCCGCTGATCAGAGTGGTTCCGTGTTTGGCCGAATTCCCGATCGGGCGAATACGGCCGTTCATGACGGAATATTTTAAACGCCCTTTAGAATAGCCCCGGCGCCATCGTGTCTGAAAAGTTCTGGCGAACACGGTGGAAGTTCCAAGTCAGCTGAACAGTATCAAATGAACTTGAATTATGGTACACTCACACTTGTCGCGTTAGCTTATGAACGAAAAGCTTAGCGGAAGATCTGTGATTCAAGGTACGTCGATAGCAACACCAGAAGGAAATTTCAAAATGCAACCCTGAAATATATTGCTAATAATATTTCCAGACCTTCACTAATGCGTAGAAATGTGACATTTCATAAAAAAATTTCTCCCATATTATATAAAACCGATCTAATTTAAAAAAGCTCTGAGCGAACAGTTTTAATATTTTCGTTCCCAATACATGTAACATGCACGAAATAATTTCAAGATTGATGGAACTGGAAGTGACCGCTACCATTTGGTCGAATCAGAACTCCGGTTGAAACGGAACATTTCTTCCGATGAACACGGATCTACTCTGACCGTAACATCGGAAGGGCAGAACGGATTGGGGGTGGGGCGGAACGGATGGTTACACATGACGAAATGCGACATGACGGGAATGGCGTGATGTGACGTGGAGTAGCGAGGAGAAGCGAAGCACGGCCAACCGAGGCGTAAAGGTCCCAGTCAGTGACCCGCTCTCGAAATACTCAGCCTTTCCTTCCCTAGATGCCGTATTGACCTCAGTGTCCCTCCCCCTCCAGTTGATGTGATCATTTTTAACTCGAATGACCGAAACATGGCTTGACATGGCCGAAAGCGTCGGCCTAACCGTATTTGGAAGACCGCTAGGCGGATGCCAGCCCCTATGCCATTCTAATCTACAACTTAACGAATTCGGTTTTAAAAAAATGGTGTTGTACAAAAACTCTTTATGCAATTATAGAATTTAGAAAAGTGATAAGATTGTCAATAATAAGATGGAGTCCTTAGGAAACAAGCAGAAAATGAAAATTTGTCTTGTAAGAACGTAACAAGGCGTCCCCTTCCAGAAAGAACTTCGTTTAATTAAGGACGAAGGAAGGTTAAAAAGGGTCCCGCCCCACCTACTTTCAATATCCACCGAGACTTTTACCCACTGTGGAGGTTCACGGCATCACTTGATGTGCGTCTGACTGGAAGGTCACGGTCTTCGAATCCCGACGGTGGCAGAATTTTCAGCACTAGCTAGGTAGTTGCTACGTCGAATAAAGCCGCTGTTGGAGGAGAATTCTATTAGATCTGATCGATAGTTTTCTGTGGTTACTCCGCTTGACACAAGGCGAATGCCTTATCAGAATCCTACCAAAGGGTCATTTACTGCGTACTATCATTCCTTCCTCTTCCGTGTCCTACCCCCAATCCTTACTTACACATATACGTACACATGCACCACACGTCGCGATACCAGTCAGGAGCTTAGAGCGTGTCCCGATTGGGGCGTTTTCTCGCTGGGGGGATGTACCGGGATGGAGAAAACCCCGCAAGCCAACAGGTAGGTCGGCGCGCGTGCATGTAGGGATATCACAATCCAACGGAGGAAAAAAACTGCCACAGCCCGATAAAGCGTGCACTACACTTACGGGACGAATCACCATAGCAGCTGGCGTGCCCAGAATCAAGATATAATGAATCAATCAATCCGAAAAACGGAATTAGTGGTTGTTTTAAAGCGTAACATTTAATAATCATCACCCTTGATTGTGTACATTGAGGCAAACTCACTATTTTGAATTTTTAGTGTCGTGTGATGACAAAATACTTGACAATAGAAAGGTATATACCGCTTGCATTTAAAGTTGACGCGTGTCCTTCGTATTGTTCTGAGAAATTTCTGTAGCAATTGCCTCCGCGTCATGTGCGTCCTTCTGACGCCTGGAAACGTCCGGGAAGGTACCAAAGTAATGACATTGGTTTTTTAAAAATTAATATTCAAAACGTCAACAATTAAAGTCCTGTCGACGTGCGGTGTTGTTTATTTGAGGACTAAGTGATACGTGGCGCGGCGCGACTAGTCGTAGTTTTGATTGACTATTCCACTAGCGAATTTAAAACCAATAGTGTTTAAATTCACATACAAAATGCCCCAATCAGTGCGGTGTATCTCAAAACATTTATCGCCTTTTCTATCCGATTTTTCTTACCGCTTCTACCTACTGGCCAATCATAAACTGTGACTCATCAATTTTATTAGACGGTATACATTGATCGCTATGTCGATGTCCAACAAACAGCATACTATATACTATAACATAGCCTCTTGTTTTAACGTACGCTTTCAGTTATTTTGAATATTTGGCGCATTTTGAAACTCTGTTGGACATAATTTCACTCGTGGATTAGTTCTATTAAATACCACTCGGAGTTTGGTAATTCTCAGATAAATCTCCTTCTCGCTTCGCAAGTCGGAAATTTATCGACAATTTCCAACGCACTCGTGGTACGAGTATTACCTATGATTATGTTGTTTCCGGGTGCATCAACTTCTACGATCATTAAGTCCCTCTGTGCGGCGCAGGTCATTTCGCGAGAGGTGGCGGGGGCTCCTGCCCTCCCTCACCTTTGGACATGGATGTGCCCCTCCTCCCTGGAACGTGGAATCCGGCGCAGCTCTACACGCCCGCCTGCGGGACTTTCCCCATCCGAGTATCTTCACCAGAAGGAAACCGCCCCAGTCGGGTCCGGCTATAAGCTTACGACTGATCCCCAGTCACATATTGTAATGTAGTGCGCGTGTGTGTGTAATAGGAGATGAGAGGTCGTGGATGAGGAAGGAAAGATTACGCGTGGTCCGTAGCCTGTTTGTTTGGGTACAGCTCCGGCTTTCAACTCCTATTGATTGAAAGTCAACAAACATGAAAACTACCGATCAGTGCAGTCGGCCGACACAGTTCTCCTCTTGACAGCGGCACTGGTCGTGTGACGGATGTTGAGGGGAAAGTGTCGAGAAGGCGTGGCGGGGCACGAAGGGGCGGGGCCAGCCGGTGGCAGAGTGAGCTTGAAGAGGTGGGCGTGGCGGGCCATGCACACCCAGTGGCAGCTCTCTCAAACGGCAACGAACTCATTTGCAATTCGAGGTCGCCGAGGTACTTCAAGGGGAACTACTGGAATTAAAATCGGCATGAAATGCAATTCTTTGTTTTGTTCAAATATCAGCGTGATCAACATTTCAAATGTTTTATACCCACAAATCTGCCATTATTTTGTGATAGCCGCTTTTCATATTCTCTGACTCTGCTTTTTCAGATTTTTGTTTTGCAGAAGTCAATATTGTTCTTGAACATATTTCCGATCTCTCTAAAATTAGGAGTATTTTCAAAGACATTATTATTATTATTATTATTATTATTATTATTATTATTATTATTATTATTATTACTATTGTTGTTCTTTTGGTTCTCGTTATTTGCCCGATCCAAACGCACCGCTCTGCTTTATATTACCACTGCACGTTTCTTTCTTCTTGCACCATTTTCGTGTCTTTCAGAGCCGCTTTAATAGTATTGCTATGCGTGACGCAAGTTCTCATCCGCTTCCAATTCGTTTTTTACAGCTACGAGTTAAAACATTCCAGTTCATACATTATCTCTAAATATAAAATAATCAGATAAGGAGGGCACATTCGTACATTCAAAGATAACCAACAACGCGG